TTAAAGGTGGCAGAAAAATCCTGTGGTGTCTTCTTGCCACCTTGGTGGCTCCTACCATTGTTGAACATTTGTTGCATGATGCTCAGACCCTCATTATATCATACTTGATTATACTCTGTTCTTCAGTGTTTGTTTCATGAGTGTTATTCTTCCTTGTCTTATCACTCTTATTATGAACTTATCAAGTGCAGGGCCTATGCCTTAAACTTCTCTGAATGATATTCTCTCCGACTCCTTGCATAGGGCAGGTACATTCTCAGGAAGGAACTATGCCATTGATAAAAAGGGATTTCACCCTACTTAATAAACTGTGGTTCCTAGAGGTGAAGTGCTAAGCTTTGTTTGTTTATTTTTTTCATTCTAAAATAATACTACCAACTTATTTTTAAAAACAATCAATACAAAAGTGTACAGTAAAAAGTAAAAAGCTGCCTCTCTCTCATCTCCAGAGGCAACCACTGTTAACAGGTTCTTATGTATCTCGCAGACGTTCTTTCTGAGGATATAAGAATATGTTTTTTTTCTTTAGGTAATACGCTTGAAGTCGTCATCTGTAAGAGAATCAGGGGGAGGCATTCTTAGTGAAGCTAGCTATCACTGCTTTTCTGTGAATATCCCAGCAATTCCTTCTCTGGAATGCAAAGCCCAAGATTCACATGAACATGAATAGGCTGTTCACCCCTCCCTGGAAGCAAGTGGATGCAGCTTAGAAAGTACAAAAATATTATTACCGCCCTGGGGCGTGAAGGGAGGCACAGGTGGGAGTTAGGTAAGCTGCCTGTCGGGTGCTCAATGGGCAGGTTGTCTGCTCACTGCTGAGCTCTGCCACTTTCTCACCCGCCCTGTGTGCCTCTAAATAAAGGTCTTCAGTGTCCTCTCCTCGCCACAGGGCTGGGAACTAGGGAGTGTCTTCTGTCTCATGTGCCACCTCCTGCAGTCCCCAGAGCAGCTTGGGTCATGTGTGCGGTTTCCATCACGGCCCCCAGTCTCATCCCTGTGTTACCTCCCTGGGTGAGTGGGAGCCGGCTGGCCAGCCTCTTCTCTTTTTGTCTTTTCTGTTATACAGGGTCCCAGCAGTGGACTGCAGACTCTAAAATAAACCCTGATTCAGTCTCAGTGAATAAACAAAACTGAGCCAGGCACGTCCCTTTAATAGACTTTAATTTCCTCATCTATAAAATGGAGCTAACAACAATGACTAACCTCATGAAAAGAAAAGATAAGTCATCTCTTTCCACGGTTGTCCTATCTTTATGGGGCTGGGTTTCTCAAGAACCCAGACCGTGTCTCATGCAGCTCTGCATTTAGTAAGTGAATGAGAGGTATTGTCACCCTGGATTATACCTAACAAACTAAACTTCTCCCTCGGCTGGGTATTCAGCCACTGCCTGCCCGCGCAGTCACCAAGCACCTGACAAAGGAGTGGACAGATGATTTTCATGCCCTGCCTGCTCCCGCGTCCTCTCAGCAGTGGTCTCTAAGTGCTGGGGACTGTGCACCTCAATGGGAGGACCGACTCCATTGGGGGCTTTGGGGTAATTGTGGCAAAAATCAGTTGGGGCTTCCTCAACACATGCCCATGGGGAAGGGGAACTGTATTCACATAGGTCACCTCAGGCTGGGACTTGTGCTTCTGCAAAGCCTTCTGTTGTGTCACAGAGAGGCAGATGGAAAGTGTCACCTGTGCCATTGCTGATAGACAAGTATGTGAATCAAAACAGAGGTTTACACGAAGGGGAAAGGATCCCAAAGCAATGACTGGGTCTTCCTTCGAGGGAAGCAGACAAGATGAAGTGTGATTAACAACAAATCCTTGGAGGAGTCCCTTGCTCTGTCCTTCTCACACCCAAAACACTAAACACTCGTCATGGATAGGCCAGATCTCCCCGTTGGTGAGTCAGTTCATGGGGCTGAGGCTTGCCCCCACTTTGACACTCTCCCTCACACAGGCCTGGCAGTCCCAGCTGGCTCCCTTTGTCTCTCTGTCCCCTCCTGTTCAGACATGCAGCCTATTCTCCTTTCCTTTTCACCTTCTCAGTGTCAACTCCATCATTCAGGGCTGTCACCACCCCTCGCCCATAGACCACCCGAGACGTAGGGCGCATCCTCTCCAGCTTCCCACTTCACTACAGACCCATCCCCCGTCTGGGTTGTTTGTTGTCAGCCTCTAAAATGGGGGGTAACAAAAAGAACAAACATGGAGTGAATTACTGAGAAATCTGGACACCTTCCAAAGGTACCATCCTGGCCGGCAGTGCCTGAGTCTCCTTCTGAGTCCTCAGTGTTCCTGTTCTCGTTTGTCCCCCAGGGTGGAGAGACCAGTCAGACCTTCACCTACCTCAGTCTCTTCTCCCTCTCTCTGCTCATTTTGAAGGTACAGTAGAGTTGAACACTAGATGCTTCATTCAGTCTTTCAGCCAGTATTTATTAAGTGCCCCCCAGGTCCTAGGCACTGTCCCAGACGCTCGGAATATGGTGGTGACCGTGGGCCTCACTCTTACGGGGCTTACAGCCAAGGGAATGAAGACAGGTAATAAAAAAGCCAATTAGCAGGTAAACCCGACCATCCGTCAGTGATATGGGAGTAACAAACAGGGGCTGTGATGAAGGGTGGCAGGAGGGGCCTCTGAGGTGGCGTCATTTGAATTGAAGTCTGAACAATGAGCAAGACTCAGTCCTGCAGTGCAGTGGGGGAAGGGCCAGGCAGAGGGAACAGCAGGGGCCAAGGCCCTGCACTGGCAATGAGTCGGGTGTATTTGGGGACTAGAAGGGTGGCCACTGTGGCAGCAAAGTGCACAGGGGGAGAGTGACACTGTTAGGGCTGAAGGGTGAGCAGAGGGTTATAGTCACAATTTGTTTTGATAATAGATGCCAGGGGATTCAAGCAGAGGAGGGACATGATCTGATATGCATTTTCAAAAAATCAGTGTGGCAGAGTGTGAAAAATCTAGGTGCATGTAGGCTGGTTGGTATCACCTCATCTTAATTGGCGATTTACAGCTGAAGGGAAAGACGACACCCACCTCTGCACCAGCAAAGTCTCCTGGGGAAATTGGAGGTGTAGCCTGTTTGGGGAGTCCAGGGCCAGAGCACAGGAAATAGGGGAGCAGGAGCTACATTCTGGGGTGGAAGAGGAAGGCAGGAGAAGGCAGAGCGCCCGTGAGCATGTGCAAACAATCTTGTCAATCCATCTTGACGTGGAGCTGGAATCTCCTTTCATGGCAATGTGAGATGGGCTCTGACATGCCCTCTAAATCTAGCTTTCTTCTCCTTAGCCTTACGGTTTATTGAATAGAAATTTGTAGACGTCATTTACTTCCCTGTACTACTCAAGCCTGGAGAAGTTAAGTGTGATTGGGACAGAAAAAGAAATCCAAAATATTTCTTATGTCAATACAAGAGACCCCAAGAGGAGTGTGACTAACAGGAATCTGGTTGAGAATGAGCAGGCTATTGCCCCAGCCAGCACACTCTCCCCAGCACAAGCTCAAGGCAGTGCTTGGTGCACTGAACTGCTCTTAGGATGCTGAGTCTACAGGATCTGCTCAGAAACACTTCTAGAAGTGTCAGGGAAGACGTCCCCACCCCTACCCCCTGCTCCTGCTGTCTTTCCACAGTGCTTTTGCCATTTCCAAGCAGAGAGAGGCTGGAAGGCTTCCAAAGGGAAGCTAAACAGGAAGCCTATCATTTCCATGGAGCTAACAGATCACTTTCAATCAGACCACTTGGCTCTCATAACATTTGCAAGGTAATTTTCAGAGAAACACTCTCCCTAGTCAACTACGGTTCTGCTAAGAGGATTTCCTCCCATGGCCTGACTTGGTAAAGCTACACAGAAGATCACTAAGTCTGCATTTCTAGGCTTAATTCCTCTCCAGGATTCCAGAATCCAATTTTCAACTTATTTCCTGGGTACCACACCAGTGCCTTGCAGTCAATGGGTCCCAAACCAATTCATTATCTTCCCCTCTCCTGGTTTTCCTGTTTCTGTTGATGGCATCACTGTTCCCTCTGCTACCCTGGCTGGAAACGACTGAGTCATCCTTGACTCATCCGTCTCTCTTATTCTCTATATCAAGTCAACTGCCGAATCCTGTAGTACCTATTTCCGTGATGTCACTTGGATCTGTCCCTTCCTTCCTATTGCCACTATCCCTCTTCGGTGTGGGCTGTCATTACTCTCCTCCTGAGAGGAGCATCCTAACTCATTCCCTCACCCACCTCCATACTGCTGCTGACTTGAGCCTCAAACACAGATCTACTCCCATCGTGCTGCTGCCAGCAGCCTGGCACGGCTCCTCACTGCTGCCACGTTAAATATAAGCCCTCTTTTAGCTTTATAAGTCACAATTCCTTTTCCAATATGTGGTGTTTGAGCTAGACTTACTGATCATTAGTGTGAGATGTGACTTTTTTTCTTTCTTGAACCCCCTTAACATTTAAAGATCTTGCAAAAGATGATTACATGCTGTGATATCTCCTTAGAAGAGTTGATAGTCCTCTATTATTTGCCTCACATCTATTTTTGCTTTCTCCAGTATTTGGGTACTTGTATAAACTAGGCGTTGTTCTAAAATCATTACATGTGTGAAGTAGTTTAACCTCACAACGATTCTATTTGTATCCCCCTCTTACCAAGGACAAAACCGTGATGCAGAGGAGTTGACCAACCTGCTGCGGTTCCTTAACTAAGAAGTGGTAGCGCAGGATGTGAATTCACATGGTCCGGCCCCGACACCCATGCTCCTAACCATTGAACCCGCGTTTGTCTTTGTTACCTGCATTCCTGACAATGTATTTGGATTTAGCTGATGTTTCATAACTGAATGAAGCTTAAGGCATGTGTCTATTAATGGTCAGAAATATCAATGGTAAGCAGAGTGTGCAAATGTAACTTGATATTAGGAGCTGATTTAAGGTGCTTTTCAGGAAGTCACTGTGAAGCTGAGAGACAGCTTTGTGGTATTTTTGTCTTACTTCTTTTTTTTTTCTTATTCTAGTACATGGGCTGTATTGAAGTGCTGCAATCTATGAGGTCACTGGATTTTGGAATGAGAACCCAAGTTACAAGGTAAGAGACCGAAAATGGGAAGGGCTTTGAGGACTATATTTAAAGTCACAATAGTTTCTCTTGCAGGGATTTTATGCAAGCCTGCAAAGTCATTATGGGTTTTTATTCATATGTCTGGAAGGTAGAACATAGCCCAGTGACCTTGGATGAGTGGCTTTATCTTATCGTGTGAAAGATTTCCCAGTGTGGCGGAGCATCTGCATTCCACGTGAGAATCGATAACATGAAGCAGACTACAGAAATAGCTGGTTCCCAGGTACCAAAAGTATTTAAAATTATGCCTGGAAATAGGACATTACAGAATCTCTGACCTATCAAGGAGCTAGCTGAAAATAGACTCGGCAAGAACTTTCACCGCCCAAAAGCCCAAGCTCTCCCCATTTACGGCACCCCTCACATGAGAACCTGCTCTCCCCCTGCCTGGGTTCCCTCCTCTGCTTACAATGAGTGAAGGGCTTTACCCCAGGCAGCTTTAAGGAAGAAATCAGAATCCTTGTTATGTGCAGCTCGAGTCAGAAGCAGAAATACAAGGCATGGTCCACTAAAGCCAAGTTTAAAGCAAGGACAGAAAAAGGAATAAGAGAGTGTTATGCCGACACTGGTAACTGGGGGAATTGTGAGGTGAGGGGATGAAGTGAGGGGACTGGGCTGATGCCCGTGATTCAGGATGAAGGTTTGGGCACCTGTTGCATGTGGTGCCAAGGTGTGTCTCAGGGGCATGCCACCGTGCCCATCTGGATCCATGGTTGCAGGTTTCCTGTTCCAAAGGTGACTGTTCCCATTATGAAGAGAGAATGACTTCCCAATGCTCATCCCATGGAATTCTAGGCCGAGAAAAAGTGTCTTGTGGTACAAAATATTTGGGGAAAGTATCATATTACTGTTTAGGAGAACTGCAGTAAACAATAGTATATTAAAGACTCTGCCAAGTCCTGTGCTGTAGTTTACAAAACTCTAACATTATCCCAAGATTTTCTAAACTTATTTGGCCCCCAAATCATTTTTTCATATAACATAACTGAACATCCTATGTATCCCGAGGGTTCCATGAAATGCACTTTAGGAAATGCTGATTTGGACTCTCTGTCTTACGATGCATTCAAATCTGTTTTTCCAAACTTCTGCTCACCAATCCTCAGTATTCCCTCTGGAGTCAAACAAATGACAAACCTTGGGCACACGGAGGAGGCTCAGTGGATATTTATTGAATAAATGCATGGTCCCACCTGACTCTACTTTCAGTATTTGAAGACAGCAACATTTCTTCTCCCCCTTAAATCATCTCTTTCACACTCTCAGCCCCTTCAGTTATCCTTCAAGTGACATGATTTCTGACTACTTCCCACCCTGTTAGCCCTACTTGGGACAATTTTCAGGCTTTATTTCATTTTGATGATTCTTAGTCTGGAGAAAACCCTTCCTCTAGTCCTAAGAAGGGTACAGATGGGAGCAAGAGGGTTGATACCTGGAATGGGAGCCCAGGACAAAGGAATGCCCACTGTCCTAACCTTAGTGCTATGGTTTGAATGTGTCCCCCCCAATTCATAGGTTGAAACTTAATTGCCAGTGTCATAGTATTAGCAGATGGTGCCTTTAGGAAGTGATGGAGTCATGAGGAGTAATGGGATTAGTGATCATATAAAAGAGGTGAGAAGGAACTCTCTTCTACCATGTGAGGACGTAGCAAGACGCACCCATCTATGAAGCAGAGAGCAGACCTCACCAGACACTAAATCTGCTGGCACCTTGATCTTGGACTTCCCAAGCCTCCAGAACAGTAAGAAATGTGTTTCTATTATTTTTAAATTAGTCTAAGAATGGACACTGAGGAGGACCGATTTTCTTTTTCATTTATCCATTCATTCGTTGACTCTGTCTTTCACTAAGATACTTACGGGGTGCCTATTAAGTGCCTGAAACTGTTCAAGAATTAAGGATCCAGCAGTGAAGAAGACAAAGCCTCTGCCCTCATGGAACTTACATTCTAGCTGGGGAAAGAGACTATGGCAAATAAATAAATAAATATACCAAGGGTCTTCGAAAAGTTCATGGAAAGATTCATATTATCTTTTAGTTTCATTTTTGCATGAACTTTTTAAAGTATCCTCACACAATACACTTCCAGGTAGTAATAAGTGCTATTACTGTAACAATAAAACAGGGTAAGAGGATAGAGATGTTGGGAGCAGACTTTTTTTTTTTTTTTTTGTCTTTTGTCTTTTTCCGTGTCCAGCAACGGATCGCAACCCTCAGTGTTGCCCCCGTACCGGACTGGGGACCAGCAACGGGATTGCAACCCTCGGTGTTGCCCCCGCGCCTCGCTCAGCCAGTGAGCGGGAACCGGTCTGTATGTGGGATCCGAACCCTCAGGCGGGAGCACCGCCGCGCTTCCCAAGCGGCGCACTTATCCAGTGCGCCATCGGGCCGGCCCGGGAGCAGACTTTTAAATTCTATTGCATTTTCTAGTTATAAGTGTTTACTCAGAACATTTGGAAAATACAGAAAAGTATGAAAGAGAAAATTACTCATAATCCCATCTAGCAGTAACATCTATTAATATTTTGTGTTTGGGAATATCTTTCTGGCCGTTTTTTCTATACATGAATTTACAATGACTTTATACAGAAAATCTGAACAATATTATACACTATTTCTCCCATATTGAACATTTCCTGTTGCTAAATATTCTAAAGCATTTTTTACTGTGGTAAATATACAGTGCAAAATTTACCATTTTAATCATTTTTAAGTGCGCAGTTCAGTGACATTAAGAACATTCACACTGTTGTGCAAACGTCACCATAATTCATCTGCAGAACTTTATGTCCTCCCAAATAGAAACTCTATACCCATTAAACAATAATTCCCCATTCTCCCCCACCTGCACCACCCTGCAGCCCCTGGCCACCACCGTTCTATGTTCTGTCTGTATGAATTTGACTACTCATATAAATGGAACTACACAGTACTTGTTCTTTTCTGTCTGGCTTATTTCCCTCAGCACAATGTCTTCAAGGTTGATTCATGTTGTAACATCTGTCAGAATATCATTCAAGGCTGAACACTATTCTCTTCTATGCATATGCTACATTTTGTTTATCCATTCATCATCCTGTAGACATTTGGGTTGTTTCTCTAAAGAATTTTTAATATCTGCATAACATTCTCTCATTTTTCATTATTGTAAGTAATGCAGCAATGAACATCTTATCTATATCTCTTGATTATTTTCATAGGACAAATTCTAGAATTAGGATCACTAAGCCAAACAATATAAATATTTTAAGGGTTTTTGATGTGTATTACTAGATTGCTCTGCAGAATAATTGCATTCGTTGATACCCCTTCCTTCCAGCCAAATATCTGGGGTTTTTTTGTATCTGTTTTTTTAAGTCTTCATAAACATGTAAGTCTATATATCCCTATTCTTTAGTAAATAGTAAAAGGCTGACTTTTTTTTCTCTTCCATGAAGATTCAGTTTATGACTAACATACATACCCATGGCAGGATGTCTGGCATGGTATCTGGATATTATATCTTGTAGGTGTGTCTGTACATGATTCAGGCATGGCAGATTGTGTTCTGGGCAAATTTATGGAAGCTTGAGGGTGGTGGTTTTTTTTTTTTTTTATGTTTAGTGGTCATGAGACCTCTCTAAGGAGAAGATGTTTGAGCTAAGACCTGAATAAACTGAGGGATCCAGCCATGGGAGTATCTGGAAGAGAGCTCAGGGCATAGGGAAGATGGCCGTGGCATCAACACTCAGGCGGGTAGTTTGGTAATAGTGTAAAAAAGTGTGCATCTTCTCCCAAGAGTGAGTGCAAAAAATATTCAATGGTTCCCACTCAGGAGAGAGAGAGGCTGAATGGAGGGGAGGATCAAGTTTTAAGATGCCCTATGGTGCCAAGTGGTCCTACTTGAAATCAGGAGATGCAGCCTCCGATAACCATGGTGGGGCGTTACAGCAGTGAGGCTGATTTCTGTATGTCAGGGCCAAACATGAGTTCCCTTGTCTTGGATGTTATCATTAAAACATTACCATTGTATCAGGTTTCCAATTTTTTTTTATTTGAAATGTCATATATTCATAAAGTTTCTTCATTTAGCTCATAGTCCTATTTAGTCCAAGAAAAAATTTTCAGTGGACCAGTTAGGATTCCAAAAGAAAGAACTATGTTTTTTGTGATCACAGCTATCTCGGGACATTTACCACCAAACATAAGATAATTCAGGTGTGCATGCTGATAAATTAGTGTAACTAATTGCCACTACAGATACAAACAATTGGACACTGATGTCCCACCCATGGTAAACGTCTTACCGTCTCTGTGTTGCGAATAGTAGGAAGACAGCAACATGGTATTCCTGGTAATGAAGAAGGAGCTGTGATTAAGATACACCAATAGGATCAGCATTTGAAAAGAGGAGAAAGATGGAGTAGAATTCTTGTCTTTATGAGGGACCTTCCTGCTAGTTGTTTGAGGGTTGAATCCACAGGACCTAGAACACAGAAAGTACTCAAATAAGAGCAGAGAAAAAGAAAAGGACAAGAGGTTATTTACTTTCTCCGCAGTTCCCGGATTTCACACCTTTCCAAGCTCTCATCACACTTTTCTATCTTGTCTCCAGATTCTGTCCCTGGGGGAGCCCCTTGGGTGGCTTTTACAGTTGTTCCTCCACAAATTCTCCCCCAGCCATTCATCCCCTCGACTGATTCTGGACCAGATCCCAATTTTTAGGAACAGAGTATTCATGCAAAAGGGCAAAGGAGGAGGTTTTTCCTGACAGTGAAGAGAAACAAGATCATTAGAAAAACAAAGGCTCACAGCCACAGTGGTCTTCAAAACGTCTGGAACAGTATCAAAAGGAAATAAAAGACGGGGGAAGTGAAAATTATGCTAAAGATGCCACTTGCGCTCTCCTGTGAAAATGATTGCATGATTTTTAAAACAAAGTTAAACAAAACAAAACGAAACATCTGATCCACATCTGCAAACACACACACACACACACACACAGAGAGAGAGAGAGAGAGAGAGAGAGAGAAATCAGGTCACTAAAACCCAAAGCCTGGATTCCTTAACTTGAGAAGCATCCACATCATGCAAAGAAGAAAAACCTCTTCCCTCTCTCTCTCGGGATGCCTCCTCCTTTGTGTCCAGGTGGGAACCTGCCTCAAATGCGGAAGGAGGAATGGACACATCAGGGTAAGCCAGTAAGTGGAGCTGGGGGGACAGGACTTGGCTTTCAATCTGAAGACCAGAGCTTCTTATTTGGAGCCCCAAGGAAATTGTAGAGGGGACATTTAGTTAATCAGCACAGCACACATTTACCCTGAGGGGCAGGGCACACCACTGGCAGATGGGCCCTCTTCTGCTATTTCTTGCCTTACGTGTTTAACTCCCATTAGCTAAGAGCGAGGCGCCCAGCGCGCGGTCTGCCCCGCTCGGCCCCAGGACCAGCCGGGAAGCCCTGGCACGCTGCGGGCTTGCCTCATTCGTGTGGTTACCTTCCCTGGCGGTCTGTGAAAGGAAACAGGCACTGTAAGTGTACGGGTGGCGAGTGCTGCCCTTTGGGGTTCTGGCTCAAGATTCATTTTCTCTAGCTTCACAGTATGGTTTTTCCTGCTCCATTCTGTTCGATTGGATGAGTGGGTGGAGACCCTGAGTAGTGCTTTTTTCTTGAACTGCTGCTGTGGACAGAAAGCTCGTTGGGTGAGTTGGTACTAGGTAAGGAAGCAGGGAAGCAGCAATCATAATTCAGAAGACGTTGTAATTGAACTAATTTCCTGTTCGTAATGTTGTTGCTCCTGAGCGGAGATACTGCAAATTTAATTCACTATCTTGAAAATTTTGATTCTTTGGCTTCAACAGGGCATTTAAGGCAATTCTTCAGAGACAACTGCATACTTCTTTGTGTGTGTGTATGTGTGTATGTGCGTGTATGTGTACATGTATGTGTTCAACCTGCAGATGCGAAGCAGATCCAAGATGCAGCTGAACATTTCCATATGTTCCTGTGTGTGTGGTTTTTAAGAAATTTGAACATTAGGAGGAAAAATATTCTGTGGAGGTCAAATATCTGTATGTTAGGTGGCCAAATTAAGATATCTGTTTGTTTGAAAACAGGCTGGCATTTATCTAAATTTCCTGAGGGTTGTCAGAAAAGGATTGGCTACAGCTATACATGGATAAGTTTGTGTATCTCTTCCTAAACTTTGGAGTAGTTCACAGCATATGGTATGTGGATTCTGTGTTCACTTGGGAGAAGACCATCGAGTTAGGAGCAGGATCACATGGCATGTCAAAAAAAGACCACTACAGAGGGGATAAAAGGCCAAGTATATGAGCTTTCCAGGCAGGGGAGCACTCACCAACGAAGAAATCTACTGAGAACAGTGGTTAGGAGAAAAAAAAATCAAGGGTTTTTAAGTTCTAGTTCATGGTAGTTTTGCTAAGGATTGAAAACGAGCAGTGTGGCTAAGACAGAATGTATATAGTTGGTTAAAACAAGTCTCAGTGTTCATTGGTCAGGAAAGAGTGTAAAGACCTCAGTAAGAGTCTGGTGTCCCAGGGTCAAAGTTCATAACCATTATCTGCTGGTTAGAACAATAAACCATACAATAAAATATAACATTCAAAACTGATATCTCCTAGGCAGGCACTGGTGTAAGTGGAAATATTTCCTTTCGCACATGTGTGGATGTCAGCGAGCCCTTACTGGATGTTTGATGCTGTGTGTTGTGTGAGTGTGTGAACAGTGGCCACTTCTAGTTTCAAGTTTCACTGCTTTCCAGTTCCTCACAACCTATGTAAGACTAAAATCTCGCTTCTCAGATACTTGAGATAAGTGAAATAGCCAATTAAGTTTCCTTTACAAGTCTTTGAGGCTGTAGTGATTAAAAAAAAATGTTTTCCAGTCAGTGTGGAAGGGTTCTGACTGCATGACAGAGTAAAATGCAGAGAGGGAGAGGATAGTGACTGAGTACCTTTTCGCTCAGTCATTAGCACAATGTCTCACATAGCAGGTGCACATTTACTATTTGTTTAAACGAACAGATAAGGTCAAGAAGTATACCCACAGAAGGGGAAAAATATTTGTAAGTCATATATCTGATAAAGGGTTAATATCCAGTATATATAAAGAACCCCTACAACTCAGCAACAAAGAACTAGAGAACTCTATGTTTAAAAATGGGCAAAGAACTTGAATAGATGTTTCTCTAAAGAAGACACACAATTATACTATATGATTCCACTTATATGGAGAACCTAAAGTAGTCAAATACGTGGACAGAAAGTAGACGGGTAGTTGCTGGGGACTCAGGGGAGGAGTGAATGGGGGAGTTATTGTTTAATGCTTATGGAATTTCAGTTTGGGAAGACAGAAGAAATTCTGAGATGGATGGCAGTGATGGTTGTACAGCAACATGAGTGTACTTAATGCCACTGAACTGTACACTTAAAAATGGTTAAATTGGTAAATTCTATATTATGTGTATTTATTACATTTTTGAAAGTATAGTTACTAGATGAGTTATATTTGTGGAGTGCTAGAGTATTCGATATTGTGTAAATTAATTTTATTTTGTTAAAAGAGTGCAAAGCCAGAGAGAGAAGGACAACTGAGACTTCAAGACTTGAGTTTCTAGCAGGTTCTATGGCTAACAGACTTTGGTAAGGAGGCACAGTGGCCTCTTCTAATTCTTGACAGAGAAGCACAACCAAAAGCCACACTGGCAGAAGGGGCTACGGTAGGACAAGTGGAGAGGTAGCTAACACTGGCTAATGTTTGCTTTGCCCTGCACAGAGCTTTTGCAGACATGTTCTCTTATGAACTGCACACTCACCCTGGAGGAGTGGTTTCTCCCTTTTAAAGCAGGGAAAGTTGAGGCTCAGAGAAGATAAGTGACCATCCTAAGACCACACAGCTATTTTGATGGGGCTTAAACCCAGGTATTCTCACTCCAAATCCTTTTCCTACAGCCCGTGATGTTTCGCGGTGACATTGCTTGGTTTGAAACTAAGAAACTGTTCTTGTGGCTACGAATGGGCTAAGATGGTGGGATGCAATTAAGGGAATATAGGCAAGCCTGAGTTGTCTTTAAAAATCACTTTTGGGCTGATTGGTTACTTAGCTTATTAGAGCTCAGTAGTGTTATAACACCAAGGTCAAGGGTTCATATCTCCATACCGGCCAGCTGCCAAAACAAACAAACAAAAATCACTTTAAAGTGAGAGAACAGTATCATGATGATTGTTATTGCTAATGTCAGTCCTCTGAGGGACATCTAATTCTGAAATTTTTTTTCGCTTTCTTTTCTGATTATAAAAAGCAAATCTGCCTTGGTGTGGGAATTGTTAAGTAGGATAAAATAAAAGAAAAAACATAAATCACTAGAGATAACCAATAGTAACATAGAATTTTTCTAATTCTATGTTTAAAAACTAAAGTGAGATGATATGGTACATGTTAACTTGTAACATATTTTGTCATTTATTCTGCACATTTTCTAGGTCATTAAGTCTGCACAGTATTTTCTTTGACCTGAGCTTTAAGGTGGAAGAAATAATTTTAAGTGCATCTATTTGCCATGAGTATACTTATTATGAATCTTTTGGCTTTAAGTAACAGAAAATGACTGCCTACCATAAGCAAAAAGGGGAATTTCTTGAACGGATATTGGGGCAGCTCAAGAAGCCTAAGGAGCAATGAAATATTAAGCCAACAGAAGGACAGGAGTCGGGCTCAGCAGCAGGAGTGCAGAGTTTTCTCAGTTCTAAATACTGAATTTCCAGGAAAGCTGGTGATTGGGTCCTATTGCTGGATCAGTCACCTCTGGCCAGGACAGCATTACATTGAGGCCATATGGTAGTTCCATGGTAATCATGTATTGGGAAGGGAAGGGATAGGAAGAAAAGGAGGAGGAGGAGGAGAGAGGGAAGGAGGGGGAGGCGGAACTGGGGGAAAAGAGGCTTGTGAAATGAAGATAGTAGTAGATGCAGTAAAAAATAGATTTCCACCTCAAAGGGAAAAGAAGATATTGGATCAATTTCTTTGGACACTTAAAAAAAAAAAGAAGAAGAAGATTGGGACTATTTAAATCATCCTCAAAATGCTCCACTAAAATCTAATGTTTGCAGAATGTAAATCAAATGTTTAATGTTATTATAGCAGTGCGTTAATTTCCAGAACATAATTCAGTTGAGCTCTATTTTTATGTGGTGATTGGATATTTCTGGAGACTCCATATGTAAGACTGTTTATATTCATGCCCCTTTTATAGGACTAAGGGCATTGTTTTAGTGTTTCAGATATTTATAGAGGTTTATAAAATGGTCATTATTTTTGTTCCATGACAAGCTATTTACACAATCTATATTTTATTTGCCCAGGAGTTCTTGGTCAGGAATGAAACTCCCGATTATAGCATCTTTCCATGGAAAATATGATCCACTTTATGAAGTGGTTCCTAAAAATATGTTTCTAAAAGCAGAGTCTACTAATTTATCCATATAAATATATAGAAACTTACAGAAGTGCAGACAGAGTCACACAAACACACCGAATGAAACTCCCGATTATAGCATCTTTCCATGGAAAATATGATCCACTTTATGAAGTGGTTTCTAAAAATATGTTTCTAAAAGCAGAGTCTACTAATTTATCCATATAAATATATAGAAACTTACAGAAGTGCAGACAGAGTCACACAAACACACCCCCCCAAACAAGCAATATATGTACATTCACCAACCTAAGTGAGAATAGTTGTATATCTCTCCATAGCTAAGTATGGGTGGTAGTGGATGACCTTTAAAGTGTTTGAAGAGAAACAACTTAATTCAGAGCTTAAAACACATCAGTGTTAAGGCCTATGAATGTGGGGGAAACCCCGGTATTTTTAGCTCTGATTGCTGAATGAGATAGCTTTCTCCAGTGATTTCTTCCCAGGTCTTCCTTACGATGCAGAGCCAGCTGAGAATGCATTCTAGAATCTCCCTTTTGTGGCCCTTTTTCGTTTCCTTAAGACTGGATTTCTAATTTTGATTTTGATAGATAAAGTGGCCAGCCCCTAGTCTGAATCATTTTACAATGCAAGTAGAATAGATCTTTTGAACCTTTTTTTCTGGAAGCATCAATGCTGCAGTTGCATGGGAGCCTCCAGAACTCAGAGTGTGCCCCAAAGTATGCCTGGGCCTGAAAGAGATTGTGTCCCTGAAGGTCCTATTTCAGTGGAGTCATCATAAGGGTTTCATCATGCTTCATCTCTGGACTTGAAAGATCTCCCTGGAAGACTAGTCCATGTGGCCGGCAGGTTTCACAGCTGCAGTGCCTGGGACATAGTTGGATTGATAAATATTTATTGATTAATGGAGCAGTTTCAGGGATTCTCAGGCCTAGATCACAGATCTTGAGATGACTCTGGAGGTCTTAAATGCTCCATGATTACTGCTGGTCAGAGAAAAGCTGAAAAGATCTAGAGTATCTAAACATAGGATATGGCATCCTGAACTAGGTCAAATTCTAGAAAGAAGAGCTCCTAGACAATTGGGTCAGGTCCCTGGCTCCACAGTAGGGTGTTTGGCATATGGCCACCGTTCATATATATTTTGAAGAAAGCAATAAAAATAAATTCTCTGAAGATACCTCAGACAGGCTTGAGGTCCAAGAAGTTGATTCAGGTGAAGAGAAAGACTTCTTAATCCGCATGGAACTGGCTGAACTTCAGTCTGTTTCTAGTTGAAGGAATCAAACATGGTTTTCAACTATTAACAGGCAGTTGACAAAGCAGTATATTATTAATTAATAGCTACTGTCATTAACATTGTCATCATCATCACAAAATTTAACACTTGTAAAAAATGTTATTATTAATCCTATTTTGCCCATGAGAATACTGAGACTTAGAGAAATTAAGGAATTTACCAAGGTCACCTGGCACGACACAAAGTGGTGGAACCAGAGGCCAATATCTGCCTCTTATGCGCTCTGCTTCAATGAAAGTAAGAGAATTTTAAGAAACAAATCTTAGGGAAATGCTGAAAGCCAGAAGTGACAGAATATGGAAATGTTTAATTCTCAGGTTGGAATTTGGCTTGGGTTTAAGGTGCCAGATTCCTCGTCTGTGAGTTCTCTCTGGAAGGACTTCATAAAGACACATAAATCTGTAGGTGAGGATCCTTCAATGTCCTTTTCTGATCTTTACTAAGGAGAAAAAAAAATGTGTTGGTAGTTCTCAAACTTTAGTATACAAGGACTTGTTAAAACACAGAATGTTGGACCCCACTCCCAGAGTTTTTGATTTAAGAATTTGCATATCTCACAAGTTCCCAGGTGGTGCTGGTCCGGGGACTGCACTTTGAGAAGCACAAGTGCGCAAGGAAAGCCTATCCAGTGCTTTCAAAATGAGGTCTTCAGTTGGACCACGGATAACATGGAAACCCCTTATTTCTGAACAGGTCGTTTTCAGAAAATCCCAAAAAGCATCTGCAGACTTTTTATTGTTGTTTTGCTCTTGTTTTTAGGAAAGGAAAATGGGAAGAGTGGGGGAATGCTAAAGCAGTTAGTTTTAATTCC